ACAAATGTTTTCGCAAATGTCTTCTAGACTTCAATTAGGTTAGGTGACCTGCACTTAAAAAGTCAGGTGGTAGCATGTGGCTAATTATATAGTAGATTTGTTAGCTTTTTTTTTAAATTACGTTCGGGCTAAAGTCGATTTCCTAGTGTGGCCGAACGACCCCTCATTAGAGTAGCCAACGCGATAATCGGTCAAGTAAACCTCGAGCTAAGTATAAATATGCATTCTCTAACACTAAACCTGGAGAGACGTTGCCAATAGCTCTCAGTGTAATAGCCATTAATTTAGCTGAAAGGTCAACGAGATCAACTTCGAAGCGACATCGTTAGTACACAGAAGCTGGACTCTGTTTAGCACCGAGACGATTGAGATAGCTATTAAATATATGTATATATAATATATGTATATCTTATGCATCATTTATTACACAGCTGAAACCGATCTGCACTGCCCCAAGGACAATGAAGAGTGGCTCATACGCTTCCTGCGACCCTGCAAGTATTATCCAGAGAGCGCGCGCGATTTGGTAAGGTGTTACGTGAATGATTTTTTACTATTCTCATAACAAAATGTTTTGACTATAACTGAACAGATCAAGCGCTACTACTCCTTCAAAGTAAAACACTCGGATGTATATAACGATTTGAGGCCCACAAGGGAGGCCAATATCTTCAAGAACAACATACTCACCGTGTTCCCCAATCGGGATCAGCATGGACGTCGAATCTTATTGCTGGAGCTGGGCAGTGAGTGCTGAATGCTTGTGATAGCCTTTGATAGCTCTCTAATATTACCCTTCTGCCTTTTAGAACGCTGGAAGCACAAGCAGGTCACACTAGATGAGGTCTTCAAGGGTGCGGTCATCTTTCTGGAGGCCGCCATGCTGGAGCCGGAGACACAGATCAATGGAGCCGTGGTCATTTTCGACATGGACGGCCTGAGTCTGCAGCAGACCTGGCAATTTACGCCGCCGTTCGCCAAGCGCATTGTCGACTGGCTGCAGGACTCGGTGCCGCTGCGTGTGAAGGCCATTCACATTGTGAATCAGCCGAAGATCTTCAATGTGGTCTTTGCGCTCTTCAAGCCCTTCCTGCGCGAGAAGCTGCGCAGCCGCATCATCTTCCATGGCACCGATCGCGAGTCTCTGCACAAGTACATGTCGCCCAAGTGCCTGCCCTCGTGCTATGGCGGCATCCTGGAGCTGCCCCGCGTCGATGGCGACCAGTGGTACGAGCTGTTGCTCATGTGCGACGCCGAGTACGACGCCATCAACTCGTATGGCTACAAGAAGAAGTGAGTGGGCCCCAGCCACCGGGCAGTGTGTACAGCAAGTGATATTCCCTCGTATACCCAAAACTCGATTAATAATATGCGCTTGTCCAGTCAGAGCCAATCAGTTTGCCTTAGTGTTAAGCGATCGATTCGATCTTAATTATCTAAAGTACATTTACATGGGGGTAAGCCTAATTATAGTCTGTTGTTACATTTATTACTTACATATTTAAATCTAAAAACTTATTTGTATACAAATATATACTAAAAGTTGAAATGAAACACTCAGCGCATAATTCACATAATTCATATAGCTCACTTTATTCCTTAAAGCTTCCTTAATCGGCTAGTTTACAGTTAAGTTATTTGTTTTTTCTGTAGACAAATCACGTATAAGTTCTTTGTTGGCTGGTACAAGTACACTCGTATAAATTCTTTGACTGTTATCTAGTTCCCTAGACAAGGCAAATATTTAATAGTTATGTAGCTACCTTTAATGTTATCTGTCTATCTATCGGTTTGGCCTTTGAAGTGGCGGATTTTCTGTCTTCATTCATTTCATTTAATTATGAAATTTTAATTACGTCAGTTGCTGTCTTGTCATTTTGGCGTACATAAATACGAGTTGTACAGATATACAAGCATACAAAAAGAGATTTGTATAACAACTTAGTCGAAATTCAATATTGTTTGCCTTAGGCTCTATGGTCAAGTCAATCGCTTCGCTCACAAGGCACAATTTCCACGCCCCCTTGCAGAGGTACGGCTCCAGCAGATGTGCGACTGTTATACGGTAATAACTGGCATACAATGTAACGAGACTCTTTTCATTAATCTCAAATTGTTTTTACCACAGAGTATTTGATGTGCTTTTGGTCTCTTTGCTACAATCAGCGGCTTGGCTGGAATGTAGTGAATGCGTGCCTCTGAATAAGCCATAAAAATGGAAGAGGGTGAGAGAGTGAGGGAGGAGAGAATAAAACACGTAATAGCCCCGTCTCAGCTCATAGCTGATAATTGGTCTTCGGCGCCTTGGGCGAGCTACGCGATTGTCCGAACAGATGACGCGACATGGAGGAGGGCGAACGCATGGCAGCATCCGTATTGCGCCCATCATCGTCATCCGCATCGACGACGTCAGCGGCTTTGCCCGCACCACCGCCAGTGCAGCACTGGCGCCGCTGCATCAGCCGGATGGGCTGCGTTAAATCGATGGTGTCGCCATGCTGGCGCTGCTCGGCCTCGGCGACACGCTCCATAGCCTTCCATTGTCGCAGGGCGAGCACAAAGGCGTCTGTCACATTTGTCGCCGTCTTCGAGGAGGTCTCAATGTGGGCGCTGATCCCATGCTCCGTGCACCACTGTTGCACATCCTCGTAGCTGACTTGCCTGCGCTCCGCTCGAATGTCATTCTGTAAACATGCAAGCGCATTTGCATTGTCATCAGCTTGGGCATTAATCTAATATACAACTCACCTTGTTGCCGACCACAATGAAGGGGAATCTGTCCGGCTGGACGTCCGCATAGTTAATGAACTCGTTGTGCCACAGTCGCAGACCACGCAGGCTGTCCCGGTCGTCCAGTGCGTAGCAGAGAAGGCACATGTCGGAGCCCCGATAGAAGGGCGTGCGCAATGCCCGGAATCGCTCCTGCCCGGCCGTGTCCCATATCTGCGAGAAAGGACAGTGGAGTGAGTGGAAGAAGAATGAGAAGCAAATCGAAAAGTTAGCGCTAATTGCGTCGTGCGAATGAGTGAAGGCAGATCGCCAAGGCCCTGGGCCAGAGACAAAGTGGGCCGATAATGGTGTGCTGATAACCAGGCTAAAAGCAAATTCAGTCCAAAGACCTTATAGTAAGCAAACAAACGAAAAGCTGACGCCGAAAAGACGCTTTCAATCGGGTATATTCGACTATCACATGCCTAAAGCTGTGCCTTGTGTCATTACGTATGCATTCTAGCTTCAAGTGGAAGAGTTAATATAGATAATATGTCAAATTCAACTTTCACCTATGCTTTATAAGAAATTTCCTAGTACACATACATATGTATATAGAGGCTGTTGATAGCAATTGTTGTGGAGAATAATATATTAGGTCCCCTGATAATAGTAGCTTGACTGCTTATAGAAGAGTACGGGCCCAGCTATTTTTTACTTATTACTCAGACTTTAACCTATGCTTCATGGGAAATCGACCAAATTTGAGATTATGAGGCTTTATAATTCAACATGCATTCTGAGAGAATTCAGTTCGAAATTATTTCAACTGCGGTTAGCTCCTCCGGTGTCAAATGTATATAGACGCAAGCCTATTGCTGATTTTATTTGTATCTCTGTCAGGGATAACGTCCGGTATAACGTCGAGGATAACATCATCAAGGTTAGCATCACTGGACAATGATGTAAATTTACCTCTTGAGTGAACGATGTATGTGTGTGCTCTAAAATTGAATCAAAATATTTCGGCAGTACATTGTCATGGAAACCCATAACCACCACAGGAGATACTTCAACAAAGTAAGGAAGCCCCTCGGGGAATTTACTAATATTTCTTTGGGTTATACTAAAGAAACAATAGTTAAGCAAAATACTACTATAGATCAGCTGAACAAAGAGCTATCGAACTTGAGAATACAATAGATAAAATGAAAGCTGATATTGTAAACAAAAATAAGATGATAGATGATAAAGATTCGGAAAACTTTTACTACGCTCAGTCGAAGGACTGAAAAAGAAATTGAAAAGCCAAGAAATCAAAATAAATAGATATATACGAGATGCAGGTTTCTGACTCGAGCTCCTTCAAGTTTTCTTGTGTTTCGAGTCTAGTTGACTCCAATTGGGCAGTTATTCTGCCCAGATGTTTCTATAAGCTTTGATCGAACTATGTATGAATACAGATCCGGGTTTAGTAATCTTGCTGGGGAATTCTTTGTGGGGCTAGAGAAGCTTTACTTAATGACGAAATCAAAACAACATGAGCTGTTGATTTATTTGAGGAGTCTTAATAAAAAAGTTCTATATGCACGATACAGTAACTTTAACATTGGAGGAGCGGAGGAAAACTTTAAGCTAAAATCATTGGGTAACTTTTCTGGTAACGCAGGCGCTGCAATGGCTTCAAATTTCAACCCATGATGTAAATAGTGATATGGACGTATTGTGCGCAAATATTTTTAGGCCTGTTTGGGGGCTTCCGGCTTGAAGTACCAGGTAATTAAATGATCCTTGGAAGTAAATCAAATATTAGAATTTATTATTCATTTTTTATAGGGTTGATGAAATTCTAATATTTTCTTTTGAATGATCAGTTCTATTAATTTTCCCTAATGTCGACTTGATTAGAGCAGAATCATTGTGCATGTTGGCATAAGTTCTTGCTTGAGCTTAGCGAAACGAGATTAGCGAAGCGGTTATATACATACATAAATAAGCACGAAAGCCTGTTACCCTTTTCAAATTCTAATGGGCAAATTAAATGTATGCATAATCGAATTTGAAGCTATAGATTTTTCGGTATGGCAAAATTGTAAGGAATTTATTGATTGGCGCAATTACTATTAACAATACGAATTATTTACATGACGCTATGTCCCAGTTTGCTTACTCATTTAATTGCAGCTCCCTCCCGGCCATCCGTTGAATATTTATAAGCTATATTCGAAAGTTGGCGGACTGTGAAAATGTGAACTCAAATGGAAGCCGACAGCAATAGGAAAAAAAAACTGCATCAATAACAAGCAAACAAGGGAATACCCCTGTTCTCCGACGGAAATGGGAAGAGCGAGACTGTGAGCAAATATATGTATGTACATACATATGTATGTATGTATGTTTGTGTATAAAAAGACGTTCGCTTAGAAAATACATACATACATACATATGTCTATCAAGGGTTTGCTCCCCTACATTATATGCATACACATACTACACACACACACACACACACACACACACATACGTATATTACATGTATGACACAAAGTCAACGCATTGTTTTTGTTGCTCTTGTTGGACATTTCAGCATGCTAAACGGTTGTACGTTAATTGAGCTTTGAATCAATGTGTGCGTGTGTGTGTGAGTGAATAAGTGAGGACAGATAGAGCTGATAGCGGGACAGATAGTACGCAGCTCAAGTGTCAGCGGAACAACGCGAAAAAAACAAGCAATAGTGAAAAGGGGAAAACAGTTAAGCAGAACCAGTTGGAATCAAATAAGAAAAACTAATGGAAACGCGTTCGATTCCTCAGCCGTGGATATGTAAAGCACAGGATATGTAAATAGGTGAATCATCCAATTAGACTACCACCCCACTCACCTGTAGTGTGTACTTTTCGCCGTCCACAGCGATGTCCTTGTTCATGAACTCTACGCCAATCGTGTGGAAATTGTTTTCCTCATACCGATTCGATACGAACCGTGTGAGCAGCGCAGACTTGCCCACGCCTCCGTCGCCCAGTATGACGACCTTTAGCAGTTTAGATTTTTGCGGTGGGCGCATGTTTGTCATTTTGTTGATTTTGTTGTTTGCAGTTGACTGCCTCAATAATTACTAAATTGTTGTAAAAACTGCGCAGCTAACTTTTTTTTGTTTATAATTGTCATGTGGGTCTTCTTTGTATCATCAATCACGATATTCGTTGCACTTCAAGCAATTAAATCTTTTTTTTTTCATATTACATACAAAACGTACTGGCGTGCACTTTGAAAAGTCCCAACAATTAAACGATCAAAAAAATTGAACACTTAACGCAACCGCGCCGCCACGCGCCGTAACCTACTGGACCAACAGTCAGCTGTCAAATGGATTGTTGGGCAGAAATGAACATGTTCGTGGAACTAGTGCCCTGTTAAAAATGTAAACAAATGTTAATTTTGAGTAGGAACATAAGCAAGTATCAATCACTGTTAAGAAGGAAACCGACTTAAAAGATTCAAATGAGCTTAAAGCTATTACAAATTACTGTCTTATAAAAACGACTCGGCACATAAATAAACAGTGTTAGTTTATTTTTAAATTTTAAATTCTATCTGCACGTTTTCATTTGATTATTGGCCTTAAAGTTGACAAACGGTGCATCAGTTTTATATAAGGATCAACGCGCACACACAAACTTTGGTAATACTGGCGGCACTTTGTTAACTCAACAGAGCGTTTTGCACAATCTATCCCTTAATAATGAAGACGGAAGTTAGGTAAACAGCGCGAGGGCCTTAGGACTGTTAATTGCAGAAACACACTGTTAAAAGACTATACACTCAATCGTAGCACAACATAAAACTACTTAGAGTATTTATTTGTTAATTATGACTGTTGTTCACTAAACCTCCAATTGCAAAGAATGGTTGCTTTTTATGAAATAAATTGACATTCACTTGCTTATGAACAATTTTAATAAAAAATAAACATACTGTTAGCAATCATCCTTAAATCGTATTTGAAAATCATGTTAGAACCATGTTAAAGTAATATTCGATACTCTGTTAACATAAAAAAAAAATGCTCGAATAATTAAGAAACATATTTTTAGTTTATATACATCAATATTATACAAATTAAATATAAATATGCGCCGATTTATTTTAGTCTACACGCATTATCAGTCATTGTAGGGTATAGAAAATAATCGGCAAGGTGTTTTACATCGACTTCTAATGTCGCATTGTATATAATAAATACATTAGGTAATTGGGAGCCTTCAGCCCTTTATAACTGCAATGGGACGCATTTTGATGCACTTCTTGCTGATGCCAGCGGCGTGGCAGGTATCCACGACGTCAGTGACATCCTTATATGACTCTGGAGCCTCCTCCATGACTAGTTTAGGGCTGGCGACGCGTATGGCGATGCCCAGTTGATCCAGCTTGTCCAGCACATCTTTGTAGTCCAAATTGCGACGCGACTTGGCGCGCGACAAGGCGCGACCCTGTTGAATATTATATTGATATAGTTTAAATGTGATAATATAAAATATAATGACGATGGACGGGTTTCTTACCGCGCCGTGGCAGGTGCTGCCAAAAGTTTCCTGCATACCGCGCTCGGTTCCGGTCAGGACGTAACTGCAGGTGCCCATGGTGCCGCCAACGAGCACAGGTTGGCCGGTCAGCTGGTAGTCCACTGGTATTAGTGGATGATGAGGGGGAAAGGCGCGAGTAGAGCCCTTGCGATGTACCAGCAGCTTGCGCTCCTTGCCGTCCACCATGTGGTTCTCCACCTTGGCGATGTTGTGCGAGACATCGTAAATGACGTGCATGTCCAAGTCATCGGGTGTCGTCTTGAACATCTTGGCGAAGGCCTGGCGCGTGAGGAAGGTCATCGAGCTGCGGTTCACCCAGGCGAAATTGGCAGCCGCAGCCATCGCCTTCAGGTAATCCTGCCCCTCGGGTGAATTGATGCGCGCGCAAGCCAGTTGACGATCATTCGTCTCGATCTTGTCGCGCTTCATGGCCTTCTCCATTTCGACAAGGGCGTCTGTGGCCACCTGGTGGCCGAAGCCGCGACTGCCCGAGTGAATCATGACGACCACTTGTCCCTTCTCCTCAATGCCCATCTTCGAGGCGCTCCACTTGTCGTATATCTCGTCCACCACTTGGATCTCGGCGTAGTGATTTCCGGCGCCCAGTGTGCCCAGCTGGGGTAAGCCACGCTTTTTGGCGCGCATGCTTACCTTGGCCGGATCGGCGTTTAGCATGCGCCCGTACTCCTCGCAGTGCTCCTTGTCCTCCGCCCACACATAGCCCTCACGCAACGACCAATCCATTCCCATTTCCAGGGCTTCCTCCAAGTCACGCGCGTTCATCGGTATAATTCCTTTGGAACCAACGCCAACTGGGATGTGATCGAAGAGCGATTGCGCCAATTGCTCCTTCAGCGGCTGCACATCCTTCTCGAACAAATTGGTGCGCAGCAGACGGACACCGCAATTTATATCGAATCCGACACCGCCGGGGCTTACCACTGACAGCGGATCATCCATGTCGAATGCAGCCATGTTGCCGATGGCAAAGCCATAGCCCGAATGGATGTCCGGCAGTCCAATGGAACGGCCAACAATGCCCGGCAATGCGGCCACATTTGCGATCTGCTTAACACCCGGAAGGAAGCCACCGACGGCGCCTGGGCGGCACGAGTTCTTCAACTCTTCCAGCATGAGCTGCTCCAGGCGGCTGTTCACATAGAACACACCCTCCACATTCATGTTGGGCTGGAAACCCTTCTTGATGCGCCAGCAGTGATCATTGATCTTCTCCAGATACTTCAGTTCCTCAACATAAGGCCTGACCACCATTTTAAGCAGTAGGTAATCGAAGTTTTGTATAATCTATTTCGTTAATTGATCCTTTTATTCTATTATTGCTCAAGTTTTTATTCAATTTCGTCAGAATTTGCAATGAAATCTGCCGGTAAATGACACATTTATCGCAGTAACAGCTGAGGGCACCCAAAAAATTAACAGTTGCTACACTAAGTTTGTATGCGCAGTGTTAACAATGTAGTTGCGACCCTACTATCGACTGCCACCACAATGTATTGAGCTGCTAATAAGGCATAATTAATCGATATCACGTGGCAATCAGCCGACGACCGTAATTATTTGAAATTAAAAAAAAAAAAACTTTAATAAATGAACTGAAGGATAAGTAACCGATATTGAAATATGAGTACATTTTTTTAATTCCACACTGATACGTTTATTGAAGCAAATATAGGGTCCGTAAATTACCCTGGCATACAACAACTTTCAGAGTCCTTAATAAATTAACTGAAAGGCTATTGAAATATTTATGACTACATTTTTGTAATTCCGCACTGATACGTTTATTAGGGAAAATATATAGTCCCTAAATTACCCTGGCATATAGTAACTCTTAGAAATGGAAAAAGATGGCTGATTGAATTGGTGTACGAAAGTTCCCGCCACCCAATTAACTTTTAAAATGCTCAGCCGACTCAGCAGCATTGATCCTAGGCCTATCACATCCTTGTAGTTTAGTGCCAGAATCTTTAGTTTGATTGCCGAATCCAATAGCAGGGAAAATTGATCAGAATCCTCCACGTCACAGCAACGAAGATCCAATTTGAGCAGCAGAGGAGCCACCAGACGGATTACATCCATATATTCAATCGTTATGTTGGCATGTTGTATTTTGAGTGCATTGATACGTCCGCTTTCCTTAGCGCCCATACAGAGGGGCCGAAGAATAGCCAGCGCATCCTCCTGGTGTATGGAGTAGCCCACATTTATGTTGATATATTTGATGTATTTACCAAGCGTGCGAAGTTGGTCTGTTTCATATTTAGGCGGAAAACGCATCGAAAATTCAAAGATACGAAATCTGTGCAGCTGCCGTTCAATAGCGTAATCAATGCGCGGATGAACTTTACCCAACAGCTCCATTAACTCATCCAGCACGAGATATTTGAATATATTCGCCAAGCAATCGTCGTCGAGACTCAAGAGTGACATGGAAGGTGCAGCCATGCTGGGAAAACTGAAACGAGCAAACAAAAAGTTATCAAACAGGCGCGCATCGTGTTATCGATAGTCAATCAGCTGTTGGGCCGTGTGTACATGTGTGTGTATGTATTGTTTATATCTGTGCTGTCTACGTGTTTGTGGTCGACGCCGCTCCAAAATTAAAGTGAATCATATAAAACTCGTCTCCAACTTACGCGACACTCGCGAGTAGCGCTCACTGCCATTTCAGCAAAAATATTTTCAATTCCAAACGCGAACGCGACGGATGAAACTTCGACCAGTCGCTGTCGACTCTAAACTGCTGTGTGGTTGTTGTTGTTGTTGTCGCGTTACAGGAAAAAAAATTGTTTGCGTGGATCAAAAACTCAAGTCAATTAGCTATATTTGTGTCTCGCTTTAAATTCGCTTATTCCAATTGGAATATACACCGTCAAAGTGTCTGCATCAGGCGTGGCACTTGTGAACTCTCGCTATTCGTATAACCCAATTGGAGCATTGATCACACACGCACACACATACGTGAATTTCGCTTGAACTAGAACAACAGCAAGGCAACGGAAACAACGAAATGGATGATTTAGGTGAGTGCACACAGATACTTCCTAATTGAATGGCACCCTGTATATTACACAGGGTGTGCCAGTAATAATGTATTGCTGAGGCTACGACTTTCAAGGTCAATTGTCGTTAGCGGCATAAGCATACATAGTTAATTAGCATTCCAAGTCTACTGTTGCTGGCAATGGCCGGTAGATGATGATTATAAATACATATCACTCTTATCTAATTTTGTTGGTTAATCATGCTGTACGATTAGTAGAGTTGCCCTGTCAGTCGTTGCCTAGTGCAAGTGTACGCACATAGGCATACATACATACATATGTATGTACATACATATTGTACATAAATTAAAATATTTGTTTTAATGAAAATGTACATATGTTTATAATATATACATAAATACTTATATATGCATGTACATACATATGTATGTATATATCCTAATCTAATCGCTACTCATGAATACTTAAGATCCTCGCCATTGCATTTTTTGCGATTTTATGATTTACACGCATTCTTTGGAATTAAAAGCGACGCTGCAATCATTCACACGCGGGCATATTTAAACGATTAACACTGAGGTGAAGTTCGCTGAGTAGCCCAGGTATTGTAAATGATATGCGTTCTTTGTGGCAGTCACTTTTTAAATGGGTTTGCCATTATATTTGCCTTTATTTCTTCATACACACACGCACACACATTTTTAGTCATCATCAGTCGAACTTCACGTATATGTACATATGTATGTATGTACATACATACATATGTTGTATCGTCATTTTATTCGCAGCTGCCATTGTTCTTGTTGTTGCTATTTATTCTTACTTTATTTTCTTTATGACACAATTTCTGGGCTGTTTACTGCTTGTTGCGCTTGTTCTTAATGTTTTTTGATAAACACACACATTCACACATGCAAGAATGGAAACATTCCTAAGAGTTGACTAAAGGCCACTCATACTTATTGTGTGGAAAATCGACCAAGTTGACAGCTCTCAGGAAGTTTACAGTTTAAGCACAGTCGATTGTAGTCGGCCCACGCACAGTGGTGCACTTATCTGCAAAATGAAAGCACAAATTTCATTCATCATGCAAACACCATCGAAAGCGCTGCACTGTCTAGTCTGCATTTTGAGTGGAGTGTGCCCACTTTATTGATTACTCCCGTCAAAGAGGCTGCCCACTCACCGCTCACCGATCACCACACGCAACGTCTGGGTCTGCACTCGGGTTGCGTGTGTGCAGCAACGTTGTTGATGTGCCGCCTGATCATCATAATGTTGTTTTTAGCGGATGCTGCAATTCATCGTTGTGCGAGAATGTTATTTTGCACGCCAATAACAATTTTAGAAAATCTAATCAGACAGTAGAAGCCATATCAAATGGTAGCAGAGATGACAGGTCACAGATTAGTTTTGTTTTCACATTCCGCGAGTGGCACTCGGTGCGCTCCACTGTGAGTGCAGATCGCTTCACAATCTTTGTCTGTTTTGCTGCTCATTTCTTAGTGTGCCCTATGCCTCCCACTTGCGGCTTTCGTTTTGCGGCTTTGTTGCTGTCGCTGTGACGCTGTCGTCATAACCTCATCATCACGACTTACTGCAGCCGCAGTCAGGCGGACGTTGGCAGTGGCGTGAAACAAATGAGATGAGCAACTTTTCGTTTGTTTATTTGAGCTCTGTTGCTCGCTCACTCTCTTTTTGTCTGCCACTGACTCTCTTGTAAAAGACTCTCTCTCTCTCCCTCTCTCTCTCTAGGTGCGCGTGGCGCTCGTGAGAGCAGCATTGCGTTTGTTTTTAGTGAAGCTTCATTGTGGTTCCATTTCATGTTCCGTTATCGTGCACAAGCGCCAAGTTCTATTTCAGTTGTTTGCGACGCGTTCACCTAAACACGACGAGCCGCGAAGAGATGCGCGTGTTTCATTCGGTTTCCGTCGGATTCGGCGTTCGTGAATAAACAATAACAACAAATTGTGAGATTTGGACAAAGTGCAACTAATAAAAAAATAATAAATAATTAGTTCATATGGAATAACAATGGCATAATCGATAACAATAAAAAGAGTCAAATCGATCAAGTGCTGAATGTGAATCAAAATACGCTCAGAAACAAAAACAAGAAACAGTCAAACCAGCAGCACAAAAAGTCAATGAAAAATCGGTGGGTTTTCCAACAACATCAGATGGCATAGCGTGGGAAAACTGTTTACTGAGGCTGAGGTATTTAGTTGCTAAAGTAGATCAAGCCTACTCTAGCTGGCTGAAAAGATAATAGAATATACGTAGATAAACCTCGACTGTGATAAAACAGGAATTTCAGTAGTCCAAGAGATAACAAAAGAAAACCTGTTTAAAAAGAGACGCAAATTTGTTCGCACAGTAGATTAATGATCCCACTGTCACTTAACAAATCCCGTGAACATTCCGCTAAAATCCGTGCAGAGCTTTTAAAATTTAAATTTAAACTAATTATGAAGCTAATTTTTAAGAAATCGAATAAACAACTAAATAAAGAACAAGATGAAAAACGAGAGATATGCCTAAATGTGACAAGAGATGTGAAATTTGGCTAGCGCCATTAATTTTAGACATGCCCGGCAATCGGATTATATGATATACATATGTATTTAAGAAAAATTGAGACTAATGCCGGGCGTGGGCGTTGAGCGGGGAACTTTGTTAATTTGACTGGAAAATGTGTGGAAGACAATAATAAAAGTAGAGCGATGATGACTTTCACTGTTATCAACTTATGCTTGAGCATAATACAGTCAAAATATCATTCATTTTAAGAGAGAGTCTCTAAGGCGCTTACACATGTTTATTGTGAATGTGCTTATGCCCCCTCTGTTAGGGTATACCATGTTACAACAATTACAAACGATGGCCATTATGAATATACGACATTTTATACACGTATTTCAAGCACTTGAAATAAATTGTAAACAAAGTCGCTTTCATTACGAAAGTACTCAACAATTGGGTGCACATGAATACATACATGTATGTATGTGTATATATTTTTAAGGGGATCATCTCGTTGAGTCTCGTGCATGTGATGCACTTATTGGAATTGCTTTCGATTTGCCGCCAAACCGAATTCCAATTAGTTCCAAACAATATCTCTGTATTTCTCGAGTGCCACACATACACACACATACTCTCCCTCTCTTTGCGTTGGCTCCTCTTCGCCCACGCCCATGCGAGCATCCACTCTGCCTAAACTCAGATCATATGTTTGCTCTAAGCAATTGTCGAACTGAACCGAACTGAATGCAATGGAAGAGAAGTTAGCACCTTTTTGTTGTGCATAGAAAACGCCGTCAATCCCCTATCGCCTCGCTCGGTTTGTCGTTCGCGTACAATGAGTTCATCGTTCAATTTGTTAGCGTAGTGCGAGTCGAGTCGAGTTGGGTTGAGTCGCGCAAGTTCTCGTTTTCAATCAGCAAATCGATTCTTATCTCCAAGTGCCGACTCATAAAATTTCAATTAGTATGACGACGAACATCTCAGCTGTTCCCCCTACTCTGCTTTTTCTTCAGATATTTTGAGACTGTGTCTTCTCACTCTCTAGCTGAATACTTAGAGAAGCCTCACTCTTATCGCATCAGAGAGCAGCAGGGCCACCCACACAACAGTCTGATCTGTTTTAAATTAACAACAATATAAATTATATGAAACCCTATGGAATTCTAATTTGCGGAAATCTTAAATAATAATCTTAACTAAAATCCTATTATATTTGCAATATAAGCCCGGCTAGCTTGTCAACCCGAATTAAAATTTGGAGTTGGTATAATTGCTGGGAAAAAGTAAACTTTCAGACAAGGATAACTTGGTATTTTAATGATTCGGTAAGGTCAATCTTTTAGCTCTAAACTTGAACTACGAACTTTGCAAATTTTTAGAAAAGTAAAACTAGAGCCTTCGTTGCTTAATTTCATTCAATTCGTCTTTAATGCATATTCACTCTTTTCTAATAGCAAATACCGATATATCTTCTAAAAAAAATTCCTTTAATACTATAGTTCATTTGATAGACATCTAAACATCGATACGAGAACAATTCAAATTCAATTCAAATCCTTGACTTGTACATTGTATAAATTCGTTTTATAGCAGCATAAACTGAACTTATTTATGGCCCATAGAGAGGTCAGCAGAGATCACCCACGTGAATGTAGAATTTTCATTGCTTTACGTTTTCACCTTTGGTGTTTCACGCAAGGTCGGCCCAAATTTTATGTACTTACCTATCAAATATTCATCGAGTATTTATAGAGAGATTTGCTATAGTCTGCGGCGTCGGTCAACAAGAGTCTAAGTCCATTGAACACTGGCCGCCTGGCGTTGCTCGGAATTTCCTGCGCCTAAAAAAAACTCAAACCAAAATAAAATCATACTAGATCACGCTTTGAATATCCGATATTCGAATACCCTTGCAAAGCTTATTATTAATTATTTTTGACATGGTATTCTTAGAGTAGTAGTTTAATTGACCTGATGAAAGATCATAAAAAGAAACTAAAACTAAAAAGAACTATCGAGCTGTCGAACTAGTGAGCTAGAAAATTTGATAATTGATATCCAGAAAACTTCAGAGTTAAAGAATTAGAGATTCATAAAACGAGAGATTTATTAAAACAAAAAATTTAAGAACAAGATTTCGATAACTAGCTAGATATCTAAAGAACTATCGACGAAGACAACTAGAGAACTGTATAGATGTTCCCGTCACCCAGAGAGCTATATAATCCAGAGAACTAAAAGCCTAGAGAAGTACACATATTCAGAAAATAGATATAGAAGTGTAGAACTAAAGATTAATAGAACTCTCGATCAGTAAGTCAAAAGTAAAGCACTATAGAACTGAGAAATTGGAAACAGACGAATCGATATCCATGGCGCCTACAAAGGTGTCTTCTCCTGTGCCTAATAGTTGGTCTTGCCTCGCATAGGGTATGCTAATATTATCATTTAAATTTAGAACTGGCAAACACAATCGTTAGTTATTTCTCTTCTGCTTCTTTTTCTCGTTTCTATTGTGGATCTGTTCTCTGTTGGCGTCTGCCCAGGGCGAAAAGCTGGAAAAGCGTGTGGAGATATCTTTGGCTACCTTTTTGGCAATGCACTGCGGAAATGTAAAGGCATTTCTTCTGCTTTTCTTTTCCTTTGTTGTTGTTGTTTTTTAATTAATTTTTGGGCGTTAGGTGAATTTGCTGCGCTGATGCTGGTCGAGGCGAAAACGTCGCCTTTGATTTGCGAGAACTGTTTTTTTTTTTTTTTTTTGTGTTTCATTTATTTTTAGTTCTCGATCATGGCGTTGACGTAATTTGGCAACCTTGATTCCCCGCTAGCATCCAACCCGACGACAATAACAACAAACACAAAAACCTGCTGCTGCGCTGAACATTTTTGTTGTTTTATTCTTGCCTGAATTTATGTTTATTATTTGTTACCTTTTCCAATGTGTCGTTATTTGTTTGGACACATGTTGACCGTATTTTCTTTTGGTATCTAAATGGGCAATAAATCTGTCCTTATGGCATCGCCGGATCAACCTGATCGCCTGTCATCCGTGGGTGATCATCAATTATCAAAGTCTCATATATCAACTAAAACTGCATTTTATTTATGTTGGAAGTCCCACTCACTTTTACTTGAAACATTTGCTTAGATGGGGAAATGCTAGAGGCGTGTCTTTGAACCAATCTTTTGAAAAACTTTAGTGAATGATCTGTTTAATCCGGTAAATAAAAATACTATGAGTTGGATTCATTCTTTAATGTTTTTTATGTCTTGTTTTATGTGTTTCTATGTAGTAATGAGCTATCGGAAAACATAATATAGTTATGCCAATTCCTAAGATAAAAGATCTGTGAAAAATGCCCATGATATTACTAAGCCATTTTCATAGTCTAATATTATTAATTTCGAGTAATTCTATTGAGATTCTGGATCTAAAATTGAGACGAAGATATTGTCTTCTTTTCTGATTTGCCATTGATTCAATTGACCTATGGATATAATTTTTGCTTAAAAGGGACAGATGATATTCGTATATGTATATACTTTGAGCATGTATTATAATTTTCTTACGACAAAACTACAGAGGAAGGAACAAATCCATAATTGACATGCACCTATTTAGCGTTGGAGAAATTATACAAAGAAATCTATTTCAAAAGTACAATTTTAATAAATATAATATTTTCTGGTTTAAGACGCCTCTACTGGGATTCGAAAGAATTCTAAGTAAACGGTGGGTATTAACAGGTGCATATTAACGGAGAGTTAGAGAAACATTGCACAAAACCAATATATCCGTTGTGGAAAAAGGTTATTTAATTGCAAAAATATCATTTAATTATACTATTCATAATCATTGAACATCAATATTCAATGAACAACCCAAATTAGTTAAATAAATTTAATTTAATTTTATGCATATCTAATAGATAATTTTTTCTTAATTGCCTTTAGTCTCTTAGCTCTTGGATTAGAATTGAAATATTTAAAGGATTTTACAGATTAATAACCTATTTAGATACTTTCTTTTCCATTCCATTTCGTTCCAATAAGTTGTATTCGTTCATAAAAATAATCTACTGAACTTATTTATTCGTATAGTGAACGATGAGTCTCACAGCCAGTTATTCAAATGGTCGCTAAATAATTAGTTATTGACGATTATATTGTTTTCCTGTGTTGGAGTCGCATGAATTGTGATCTCTTGAACTAAATGAACTACCAAACATATAGTTCCCGACATGAAAATAATAGATTGAACTCTGTCATCGAGTTGAACTAGAGCTGGTAAAGTGCTGAACAAGTTCCATTTCTCGCTCTTAGTGTGGCATCCCCTAGCCCCCATTTGTAGCATTTAGTGGCTGACTGTGGCCGGGGAAGTTCTGGGACAAAACTCTTGACAGACAAACGGATACCGAATGACAGCCAAACTCAGCACAAACAAAACGACAAATCCGTCGACGGACGGGTCTCACGTGGCCAAAAATAAAAATGCGCTCGGGAAGAGGCAGTCGATGCGAAAGCTTTTAAATAACTCAGCCAAGTGCAATGGGTGGAGCGCTACTACATAAGAGACTATACAAATCCAACTAATATATCGTAGATGCAATCTGTTTGTGTGAACTTTCGATTTTTCATTGACTTTTGAATGCAGCTAAAGAGCAAAGTGCTACACATATATATACAAATATAAATCAAAATCAAATCAAAATGGATCGAACTATGTATGGGAAAATTGATCCAGGAGCGCGACAACCCTATCGCACGGTGCGCAGCAAGGGCATCCAACCGGGCTGTAAGTATTCATTAAACTAATCCGATTCAGTTCCCAGCTCACAGACAAAGTGAAGAGGCGTCTCGCAGGAGGCGTCATTCATTTGAAACGAGCTGCCTGGCCGCCAGAGCTCCACGCAGTGCTCCACACCGCCAATGTTGTCCGGCTGGCCGGCGGACCAGCGCAGGAACTGGGCATCCTTGCCCGTTGCCTGCGATGCGTATACGCCCGGTGTGGCCAGCTCATAGAGCGATAGCCAGTAGCTCTTCGCTGGGTGCAATCGGGCACTAAGCTCGAGCAGCTCCTGCTCGCTCTCCAGGTTGACCAGAAACCCGTTCAGCTGGCGACAGAGATTGCTCGCATGGAACCAATTCACTCGCAACGATTCTTCAATATAGTAAATCTTCTGGCCAATCTGAGTTGCATTGGCCAGAGAGGGTCTCATGATAGCTGCTGTGATATATCAAGAGATTTGCTGGAGTAACTTAGCTACAGCTGCAGTTTTAACTGCTTACCTGCATCAATGGGCGTGGCTTTGAGGCTTAGAGCACCCAATACCAACAAAAGCAGGAAACGTTTGCACATTTTGTGTCTCAATGTCCGTCCGCACGCTTGACTATTAGATGTGTCACTAAACCAAGTAAACGCTATTCGATTTGAGTGATAAGTGCAAAATATGATAGTACTATTGATAACTTAAGTAAGTTGACAGCCAAGCAACACCAACAACAACAGTAGTCGCTCGCTATGTTAACTCATAAGTTACATATATGATGTATACATGAAAGTGAACGATTTTATTATTATATTTACTGAGCCGATTTGAAAAATTATTTCACCAGAATCCTAAATTTTCTCCATTAAATAAATTATCTTTAATGGGTCATAGAACATATGGCATCCGTATGAAATAGTGTATAATGTAACTAAAAGCTTTACGAAAATAAAAAAATAAAAATACTTTATATTCTCGCTATACTTCAAAAACTAGTTATTCAAACTCAAGAAAAACTATTTCTTAAAGTCGGCTTTCAGGAACAATCAAAGAATTGATTATATTTCGGAGCTTTGAATAAAAGCTATGAACAGGTGTACTGCAAAACAATGGGCTGAAGAAGCTAAAAAGTATTTTACCCACTTTTAAATATTAAATTTTAAATAATATAAAGGTAAAGGGAATAGATTTTTCCCGATTTACACAGAAATTCGAACTATTTTATTCACTATATCTCGATTTCCGATTGTGTATAATACTGTATAATATATAATATATGTAGTATATACAGATACAGATATACAGTTACATACAAGTATAATCTTACGAATAATGTTCTGGTTAGCCATTGACCACTGTTCCTCAATGATATCATTTGCTTGATAGATTAAGCAATATTCGTGTGCATCTCCCATATCGGAATTTACACTATTCGCTGTTTGAAATTTATTGATAAGCTTCAAACTGACAAACAGACAAAGACCACAAAAGACATTGCAAAAAATTAGCACTCTTTACTTTCTCAGCGAATCTTAAAATTCGAGACTTGTACTAAGTATTTCTTTACTATCTTAAGCGCCATCTACATCTCGTCTTAAGAACTTCAGTTCGTTTCCATACTATTGCATACTTTTAGGCAAGTCAGTTTTATAGTTTAGAATTATAATATTAGAGATGCTTCTCACTCGACTGTTCACATGGAATTGAGGACTTCATGTTTGCAACACTCTTTATATAGTTGCAAGGGCAGCAAAAGCTATGATAAGTTTTAAAGAAATAATGGCGCAATATTTCGTTTATCGTGCTTTGTATAAACATTTGAGTTACAAAAAGAAAACTTTGTGATGTAACATATGAAATCTGCCTATAGATCGAAAGTGCTGGTAAATGTATCTGAAAAAAATGAAAAAATGTTTTGGTCTGTTGTTGATACCCTGCAAATGCTTGAAGAGCATTCTAAGGTTAGAATAAGTGTACTAATTCTAGCTATTCACAACTCACAATATGAATACGTAAAATTATTAATATAAATGTTATAAAAATTAGTAATATTGCTCATTTAATTTCAAATTTATTACTAGAATATCAAACAGAGCAATAAATATATTTCTATTATAGTAATTAATAATTATTAAGAAAATCGTATCAAGGTCCTAAGAAATTATAGAAATATCACTTGAAATGCCATTACATTTGTATAGATAATATAATAAAATAAATATTCAGTGTAACAGGATATACAATTTCATGGGTGTATAGATAATATAATAAAATAAATATTCTAGTGTAACAGGATATAAAATTTCATACTGATATTCAGACGTAAATGGAAAATCTTAAATACCTCAAATTAAAAGGTATTTGCTAGTCGAGACCTTAGAACTGAAGCTTTTTCAATTGTTTCTCAATCCTCGTAATTATAGTTCATTGAGAACCAACACATTCACACTATTCGAGATTGCATCAAAAGTGAAGTCTCAACTAGTCAGACATTGATTTGAATTTTTGAATTCAGTTAGTGATTGAACGTCGTGCGGTTTCCATCACAGGTGCAATTGAATTTTGTATTTAAATCATGAGAATCGGTAAGCTTGAACAATCGTGTAATCTAAAGTCGGGCCAGGGCGGGGACGGAACGGGTTTACTATAGCGACCCTCGCGACGTGGCTCATTCATTAGATCATTTCATTCATTCAGCGTCAGCTGAAAATTGACATTCAATGTGGGCGTCGCATAGTTTCTGCTGCTGTTCTATATTCGCCTGCATATTATAAATATCTATGTATCTATGTGTATGTATATTTATATACATACCTTGATTGGCGATTGTGTAAGCGGTCTTAATTGCCAAGCTAGCTGATTCAATGTTAAGTCAATAAGCCTTGATAACGCCAAGCCCGACCAGATGTTGATGCAACCTTTTGGGATTATAATTATGCGTTCCCTCGTTAGACCGGAAGCTCTTTTACAATAGAGTTGGAACCAGTTCCAATAACAAATAAAACTCTGTTCACTTGTTCCTTGTATAATCTTTGTCTTTGTGTTTCAAAGTAGACAGCACAACTTCAGCTGGAGCATGGAGACAACTTAAATTTCAGCTTGTTAACCTTATTGAACTGTCCGCTGAAAATCGGAGTAATCAATTGTAGATGACAGCGTTGAAATAGAGAGCAATATACAAAAAAAAAAAAAAGAAACAACAGCACTCTCTGACAAATGAATACAAAATAATCAACAAAAACAATTTGAATTTGTTGCCGTTTGTCGTTTGTTGTTTGTTTTGTTTTTATTGCTGCATACTAATTTTAGTTTTGGTCAAAGTCAAGTGACTCATCGCGGCACACAAAAAAAAAGAGAATGAAAATAGAAGAAAACGCTTAAAGTGTGCGGGATTCTGCTCGGCAGGTGGCGCCTCTGAGACAAACGCCCACAAAGACTGCCTGTAGCAGACACAAATGGCAACGTTTTCTCAACACCAAACGCAAAAGTGTTGTAATCAGCAACAACAACAAGATCAACAGCTGCTGCAGCAGCAACACTAACACCGACAAATACACACAAACACATGCCCAATTGAGTTTGAGCGAGTTTTCCCACCCTCTCTTGAGTGAGTTGTGCGCTGCACACTGGGCTCGCATACTGTAAATAGTTCGAGTAGAAAAAAGTCTATGTATCATAAGCATATATTATGGGATTACTATTTTAGGTTGGCTAAAGAAAAATATATACATTATTTATAATTTACATTTACCTATATATACATTATTTATAATTTACCTGTAAGCTTCAATCACAGTTGTAATTTAACCGATAAGTCTTGGCTAAAGTTTAGTACAGTAGCAGCTCATGTTGATGAAAACAGATTTTTAACATGGATGTAACCAGTGTGCGCTGCTGCTGTTAGACTCGCCGCTGTCTTAGCTTCAGCAACAGTTTTCGTCCGGCATCTTGCTCAGTTGCTTTTAAGATTTTGCCGAGCGAAAAATAATTTTTGGTGATCCGCTGCGTTGCTCAGTGCGTAAAGAAAACGACGATCGATTGTTTGTGTAAAATCGTTGTTGGTGATTGTTGATTGTGTGCTCGCGCGTCCGCCTGCTTATAAGTTATAACAAAATATTTATACTTATCCGCCAAAGTGTATGCATGTGTATGTGTAGAATATAATAAAGGCTGCGAATTTCGATCAAAGGAAAACAACACCAACAATAACAAGAGCATCAACAATTGTGAAACACATGAAAACGAAAGTGACAGCCGCAAGCTGCATAAATATGTAACAACAATGTCAACAGCAATTGCCAAAAGCCATATGACGCAGACGAAGCTGTTGAAAAGCAGCGCAGTCAAGAGCATAACATAAAACAAAATACAACAAACAGCAACAGCAATAAACTCAATAGGCAACAACATAACAACAATTGAAATGCGCGTGCTGCTTGACCTGCTCTACGCTTTGCGCTCTCGCCCACGAATTCGCTTAGCTATCGTGCTCTCCCGCTCCCTCTCTCTGTGTGTGTGTGTGTACATTAAGTAAGGCATCGGTCGCCGTTATAAGTTATAACAGCTGTCATATGTTCGAATTCGACTCCGAATGCGGCTGCGACTGCGAATGCGACTATTGTGAATCTGATTGCACAGTCACCCTGTTGTCCCCGCTGATCATCTCTCTGCCTGCGTTTCTCGTTAATGTTGTTTTTGTTTTCTTGTTTAAACTGCAATTAAATAACTTCGATGCGATGCTCACTCAATTGCTGCTCCCTCCATGTCCATCTCCCTCTCTCTTTCTGTCTCTCTCTCATGCTAAATGGTGGCTTTTAATTGATTTTAATTGCGTTTTAATGAACGCTACTTGACAGAAATGTCAGTTAATAGTTAAAAATTGTCATCTTCACTGCATTTTGGTTATGATATTTAGAAATTTCTAACAGAACATTAAAAGTATGAAACATTTATTTTTAATGCCACCGTTTTTTGTTTTTTGTTTTTAATTTAATATTCACAATGGCATACAAAAATATTTAATGTTATACATTAATCATTCAGACTAAGCCATCAGTTCCTTAAACATTCTTAGCTTCTTAGCTTTTATATAGTCAAAAAGCACTAAATAAGATTCATGTTGATTTCCGAATCATTTCCTTTTCTACATAAATCGGATCATAATTCTTTCGGCCTCACAATCTTGACGTTGACCCACTGAAGCGCGACGCTCTGATAACCCTGCCAGATCTATTTATAGTGAACTATCCCCAATCGCCATCTGGTTCAGCCCATATACCCATATACATATACACTTCTAAAAATCAACCACATGTTCGAATACCCATATAGTTTGATCGTTTGCTTTCGATTTATTTTTAAGCGGATTGCGAAATGATTTGCCATTTATCTGATATTTCCATAAAGTCCGAAAACAGCTTCTTAAATATAGATCATCACAGCTATCATTTTATATTTTCACAATAGATTTGCTGCCAAAAAATCGCGTTCAGAGTTATTTTCGGACTCAGTTGCTCTTATATAACTCAAACATCTATTTCACTCAATTTGAGTGAAACTCGTTTTCTGCCTTCTCTTTGTTGGCATTGGCCCAATTGCAGGTGGCACTAACTTTTGAACCCAACGGATTAGAATCGATGCCAAAGTATATTGTATATGTATAAATACACATATACATAATGTTTAAAAATCCCTGCTCGATGATTCGTTTGATTTATTTTTGGGTATTTCAGCACTGATGTATTAATCGCTAGCTGTCATGTTCTACGTGCGACAGTGTTTTCTTTTCTATTCTCTCGTATCGCCTAGGTTGGGCAGGTCAAATAAGCAGAGCTCTGAAGGTGTGAATCGCTTACAACGTGCAATATTGTTTTTGGATAATAATGTTTTGATTCCATATAATACAGTCAAAAGCTGTACAAGCTTGAGTAGTTGGAGAGTTTTTTTTTTTTTTAGGTTTTCAACCGATCCCAAATATTTCATATATGTCGATATTCAATTTGAGCTTTTACATAACTTAGAAAAGTATTTGAATTACATATTACATGTCGTACTCGTAATGTTTACATTTGCTATACACAAAAACAATATGTAAAGAAAGCAATAAAAAGGAATATTTTAAAAATGTTGAAATATCGTTTAGTAATTAAATGAGAAAAAAATGGATACTTTTTCATTTCTTGTTGTACGAATTTCGAAATCTTCAATATATATATATGTATGTCGTATCTTGGCTGTTTATAGGGTATATAATGGTCGTGCATACTCAACCAAATCACGCACTTTTGTTTGTTTGTTGCTTTTAGCCAAATTATGGCCAAACATAATGCAAACAACGTTAATTTGATCCGATATATCGACAACGAGCCTCACAAGCACACACACATGCGTAAATATACATACATACATATGTATATGTATTTATATAATCATCATATATGCGATATTTCGTGCATTGGCGCGATTTTTAGCTCGTTCGTCTAGTTCGTCCCACGAGAAACATATCAAAAATATAAATATAATATACATACATATAAACATTTGATAGTCTGTGTGTGTGTAGACCTCGTCTACTGTTCGATGCCCGCCACACCCTCCGCCCCTGCTGCCGACCCTACATTGCTTATGTCCATTTCGAACGAGGTGTGGGAGTCGTGGCTTTTTGGCTTTGCTTTCCGATTGAGTTTTCATGCAGCTTAGTAACTGAATTTCGAACTCTCAGTTCGCTGTTGTTGTTGCTGTTGTTGTTGTTGCTGTTGAAATACGTTGAAATTTCAAAGAGATTTCTATTAAAGGAACTAATCGAATCGTTTGTACCTCGTTCAGCATCTGCATCGAATTTGGCCAAATTCCTTTTTGGGCTAACTAAATGTCTTCGAAACTGATATCATCGTCGTTCCATAGCTCGCCCCTCAACGACTGCTTCAAAGTGGGCGTGTTTGAGAGACGTTTGGGTAAGTCCACAGACGACAAGTGCGTGACGAACTGTAATATGTGGGCATGGGCCAGGCCAAGAGATTTCCATTGCCAATCCCAAGTTCAAGTTCAAGCGTATTGGCGAAAGTGCAGAAAGGCCGGACTAGGCATTTGTTATTAAATATAGAGATAATACAACATAAATATATGCCTTGAAATATCTTTTAGGAAATCAACTTAACTTGCGTTT